AGTAATTGGTTATTAACTATAAAGAAAAATTTCCAAAAATATTCGATTACACATTAGAATTACTTTTGTCAATGTTTTTTTTTCTTTCAAAAATACACTTCAAATTTAGGTAACTGATGTTTTCTCAACTCTACTAATTCGTAATGTACGAGTTGGTGATTATGGAAATTATTCTTGTAGAGCGGAAAACAAATATGGATCAAATTTTGTTGTACTCAGTTTATTTTGTAAGTTCAGCATAGAAAATGACAGTTTAATTTCTACTATTTAAAGATTCATTTTGAAAAGTTTTTTCTTATTTCTACTTTCATGTTCAGACAGTGATTCATAACTACAGGTTAGGACAGAATTGAATAACCATTAATTTATCTGAGCGGAACCAAATAGAAAAGAGTATCAATGAACATATTGATATTATGTCTTGAACCAAACATATTGTAAACTCATTTTAATATAATACCAGGTTAAAGTGGAATAGAGATTTTAATTAGTTATTTTATGAGGTATAATTAAGCTATGTCCAAGATTAAAATTAAATTAAGTATATTAATGTTGAATCAACGAACATTGATTGCAGAGACAATGTTTCATTTTATTATTTTTTCACTTCAGACTATTATTCAAAGATTAATGTTTTGATCATGAAGCCTAAATATCTTCTGAACCATTTGAGAAGTTTACTTTAAAGGTCACCGAAGCATCCAAGAAATAGGAAATATATCTAAATTGCACTGTGCAAATTTGTAGTTCATTTACAATCGATCATGGTGCAAATTTACAGCAAAACCATTTAAACTGAAAATTATTTTCACAAATCAAGGTTTATTAAATATAGCTGCATAGTACTAATGTCTTGGTAGCTCATGTGTAAAGTTGTTGTTAGAAATAATAGCCAATAATAAACAGAAAGACCAAACTATCAGAATGCACTGTATTTAATGAAGTACTCATTACTTCTTTTTTTGTCGAGACATATACATATATATTTATGGAACATGTAAATACTTAGGCTTTGTTGACGAATGAATTCCAATTATTTTAGCTAAAAATCTTATTGTATTTGATTTCATTTATATTTATGCTCAGATCAATCAATCTGTCAAGGTGCTTACTGTCCAATGCTTGGGGCTGTTTCCTTGGAAGCTCGAGTTAATGAAGATGGAACTTCAGTTATCAACTAGTTTGATAATAAGCTATGAAATTGTCACAGTGTTCTTTTTATCTCTATCTTGTTATTTTCGACTTTTTTTAAATTTTTACTGTCATGTAGATACAATAACTATTTTAAAATAAACATTTTATAATTATACTACTTTTTTTAGTATAGGGTTGTGGAGATTATTGAATTTCATTGAAATCATGAACTGATCAATTTTAGATCACCATTAGAGACCATGAAGCACTTAACGGCCGCTCCTTCCTAGTATGGGACTCCTCAGCAGTGTGCATCTGTGATCACGCATGCGAGAATAAAACTCAGGACTTTCAGTCTCGCACGCGAATACTAAACCTCTAAACCATTGAGCCGACATGGGTTTTTTTGGTTTTTACGCCTGTTACTCCTCGTGAATGAGCATAGGCCGCTCACCAGCATTCTCCATCCAACCCTGTCCTGGGCAATCCTTTCTAGCTCCGTCCAGTTCCTATTCATCCTTTTCATATCTGTTTCTATTATCCGACGCAATGTGTTTTTTGGCCTTCCTCTTTTTCGCTTCCCTTCAGGATTCCAAGTTAGGGCTTGCCTCGTGATGCAGTTTGACGATTTGCGTAATGTATGTCCTATCCATTTCCGACGTCTTTTCCTAATTTCCTCTTCATCTGGAAGTTGGTTTGTTCTCTCCCACAGAATGCTATTGCTGATGGTATCCGGCCAATGGATATTGAGTATCTTGCGTAGACAGCTATTTATAAATACTTGTACTTTTTTGATTGTGGTTGTTGTAGTTCTCCAAGTTTCAGCTCCGTACAATAGAACTGCCTTGACGTTCGTATTGAAGATCCTCCCTTTGATATTGGTTGAAAGTTGTTTTGAGTCCCATATGTTCTTTAATTGTAGAAATGCGACCCTTGCTTTGCCGATCCTCGCCTTTACGTCTGCATCTGAACCTCCTTGTTCATCGATGATGCTTCCTAGGTATGTGAAGGACTCTACATCTTCCAGAGTTTCGTCATCAAGAGTGATTGGATTGGTGTTTTCCGCTTTGAATTTGAGGACCTTGGTTTTCCCTTTGTGTATGCTGATGTATGCTATTGATACAGAGACTGCTGCTACACTGGTTGTCTTCATCTGCATCAGTTCGTGTGTATGCGATAGGAGGGTTAGGTCATCTGCGAAGTCCAAATCCTCTAATTGATTCTGAGCTGTCCATTGTATTCCGTGTTCTTCAGATGTCGAGGTCTTCATAATCCAGTCGACCAGCAGATGAAAGAGGAAGAGAGAGAGTAAACAGCCTTGTCTGACTCCGGTCCTTACTTGGAATGCATCTGGCATCTGTCCTCCATGAACTACTTTGCACTGTAGTTCGTCGTATGAGTTCCGGATAATATTGACAATCTTCTCAGGAACTCCGTAGTGTCGAAGAAGTTTCCATAATGTCCTCCTATCTACACTGTCGAATGCCTTTTCATAATCAATGAAGTTGATGTATAGTGATGAGTTCCACTCAACTGATTGTTCGACGATGATCCGTAGTGTTGCAATTTGGTCTGTGCACGACCGACATCCAAAAGTGTTAATGCTTAACTCTAATCGATCCACAACATTGAGCGATATTTTCCATTGTCTATGGCAGGCAACTGCTTCATACTCAACACGATTGAAATCCGCTGGTCACAGATTCTCATTAGAACAATTGAAGATGGTTGCACAATATCGCGGATTGTTTGAATTTAACCATTAACACCGTTGGATGACAGCTTAGTGATCTAGAAGTTAAGAGTTTATGCGCGAAACCGAAAGTTCTGGGTTAGAATTCCGCGTGCAAAATCATGGATGGGCGCTTCGGCAAAGTCCCATACTAAGATGAAACGACCATCCAAAGCTCCCAGGTTTCCAGTGATGGTCTAACATTGATTGGTATATATATGTATACTACTTTTAAGTGATAAGTATCATAGTTCCCGTAATAACATTTTCAATGTGACGTTCGCTTTATTTGCTGAATATAACATTTCATACACATAGTTCTCTTTATCATTTTGAAAAGAGCAAGAACAAACATTCTAGCGGAATAGCATGGATTCACTTTTTTATTATTTCGTTGGTTCTCGTCAGCTGTTTACAACCTGTGATATTTAAAATCATAATCAATGGGTTTAAATTACTTACATGAAAGAGTTTGATTAGAAGTTATATTGAAGACATATTCGTATAGTATAGCAAGGGTGTAAATAAATTTAATAGACTGTGACAACAGTTCAAACGGCTAGAAACAAGTAAATATTGATAGGAATAATATTAATTATGATTTTAATTATCATAGGCTGTAAGCAGCTGACGAGAACCAACGAACTAAAAATGGATTCATGCTATTCTGCTAGAATGAATATAACATTTTCTGATTTTCCAGTTTATTAAGTTAGAAATTTTTCCAATATTAAAAGTTAGTCACCCTCTAGATATTTTGCACAAACTTTTTATATCTTTAAATTATTTTTGTTTACACTATGATAACACACTAGAAATCACCAATCCAAGGAGTAGTTCCACAATAGAAAAATGTGATAAAATATGATATTCTCATTCATATTCTTACTCATATTGAAGATATTTTTATTCAGATATTTTCATATTCTACCATTTATCAAGTAGATAAAATTATTTAACTTGTTTTATATAGTTATCCTCTTTACATTATTTTCGTAAAATTGCCGTGATTATCACAGCAACTAGTTTTTGTTGCCGTCATACCAACTAGTGCTTTTTCAATGTTTCTATATTGTAATTGAACAAATTCATTTCTTTTCACTCCATGGTTTATGGCTTTTGCTATTGTTCACTCCTATTCGGTTACTAGTAAATCTAGTTGTTGTTTTTAAAAGTCTCATAAATTTCGACATCTTTATCTAACATAATTTGAAGATTGGAAATCCAATTGTTTAAACGTCAAAATGGATTAATATTGTTCATCAAATATAACTGTAATAATTACAAACGCTTCATTATTCCTGACATAACTTGTAATTATAGTAAACGTTAGGTTATGTAGAAAGTACTTTTTAATGATGTACTCAACACAACACCGATACTTCATGACACAGCAATAGTGACCTTTGATTCATTTGCGTCATTGGTTTCTTGCGAGTTTAATAAAACACATCAAACTAAATAAATTTACTCCATTCTTTGTACGCTGTTTTTTTGTCAGTCGAAATGTCACTGGTAACTCGGACGAGCTAAATAACTATTTCGTTCCGTGTCTAGACTTCACAGTTGTATTCGTCCTTGGTGTTTTTTTACACTGAACCGTGTCTTCAAAGATTTTTAATTAGTTAAACTATTAAAATAAAACTCTGCTAAACTGGAATATTAGTATTTGTCTAAACATTTAGTTGGGAGACCGTAATGTATGGACGACCCTTGAGCGATGCTAAAGTGACCTTGATACAGCTCACCTACTTATTACGGTAACAAAAGGGTTATAAATTTGTTTTAGGAATTAGAGTTCTAATATAGGATGAGGAATTAAAACAAGGTTATTCATCACGAACTGACATAAGCTATAACTCCAAAATGCTGTTCGAATACATGGATGAATGAAGTTTGCGCATAATTGGGAAACTTGCTATCCTTAATTTCATTGATTTGTCCATAAATTATAGTCATTTCGTCTGAATACTTGACTGATACTATAATCAAAGATCTAAAGTTTTTCAAAACTTATTACAATATCAAAAGCGGTAGGCTTTTATATATAGTAATTTATTCAATGTATTTTATTCATATTACATATGTTATTCATAATACATTTAATGATCAGATTTCATTGTATTCATTATAATTATAGCCGAGAAAAAAATAATGGCATGTATTCTTTTTTTGATGAACAATTTGCCTATAAGAGATAAGTGTAAGATGTTTTTTGCAATTATAACAGAATACTAGACGATAATAAAAACTCTCATGACTGAAAGAAAAAGTAGCTGACTTTTAATATTTTCAGAAGATTACATAAACATGATTTATTTGAGATCTCTCAACTAGTAGAGTGATAAGTTATGAAATCTAAAAACGGTTGGTCTTGTGCTTTCATATGACTTGCTGAATATTCACTCCATAGTTTAACCTTATCATAGGGAGAACATTTATCATCAATCTGAAGCAATCTGTTATGTTATTAGAAACTTGACTAAAGCTTTAAAGCTCCCATAAAAAATAGAACTAACCATACGGATAAAAATACCGAGATTTCAGTGTCTAAAAGAAGCACAATAATTCAATTATCAGTCATGAAATAGCTAATATTAACCTCTTGTACGTATTCTCTCTTCTTGTTCATACCTTAAGTTTCTGTTATTTAATTAGTTTTACAATACTGCACCTTCATTGTCACTCACTTAGTTCATAGAACTCTACACATTACACAGTCACCGGTCTAAAATTTAATACAGCCGTGGAATACATAATTTGTTGGCGTAAATTATCAGATGAATTTGTAAATTAATAACTACTCAAACTCTGCTGGCTTATTACCTAATTTAATTAATTCTGTCTTAACTTAGCCAGTGTGTATTTCAGTGAGTGTTTTTACGATACAACATTAAAATTCACCAAATCCAAACTGGCCTATATTTCTTCTCATCAAATCATGGAGTATAATTCACAATTAGTTAATCTCTTCAATAACTTAATATTTTTTAGTACCAACTTACCACTTGATTCTTGAGAAACTCATGAATTTCTGTGTAAAGTTTTTCACTTCCAATTTCTCCTTGTTGAAGCCAATTCGTATCAGATTTAGCTCTGAATTCCGCCATGGAATCTAAGTTAGTCCTGCTAGACTCTTTCATTTGTTGATTAACATTTTCATATTCATCTACTGTACCATGTTCGTCGTTTGGAATATGAGAATAATATGTCTGAGTAATCAAAAGTAAACATACATGGACAGTTATAAAACGACTAATTGTGCAGTATGTATGCGCTTTTTAGCATAAGGTAAACAAATGTACAATAGTAACCATATTATTAACGTAACGTTTGGTCAATAAATTTATCCGTTAAATAAATGTTAGTGAAGTCTAAGTTTAAAGGTTGAGACTTTCTTGAGTAGGTATCCATGATCACGGATCAACTAGAACAATCTCAATATTTCCTAGTAACCAATATTATAATTGTTTCAATTAATCCTTGTTCAATTCATAGTGTATGGCAATGATAATTAGAGAATAGAAAAAGGATTTAAATTTATTTTTTTAAAAGCGGTAACATAGAAAATCTATTTTGTACCCAATTTCTCCTATTATAAACTTACCTGCTGATCTATTTTTAATTCTTCAACAAAATCTAGAAAGCGAGCACTTTGTAATTGTATAGTGAGACTTGCATTTTCCTAAGAAAAAACAATAAACCAATATGAATTCACAACTAAAAATTGATCAAATTTTGCCTAAATTTTGATTTAGGGGTTTCATCTTTGCTTACTACTGATGTGAAAGTATATTCTCTATCCATTGAAAAATTCTAGAAAGTCTGCTTAGGTATGAAGATAGGATTGACTATGTTACTTTTAATATTCACCTTGTAATATCATTTTTAGACTATCCAGTATCATTATTTTTGGCTTGTGACAAGAAATACAGTCAAGGATATACGTTTTGTTCTGTACTTGGTAACCATGTACTTGAATCCCAACACTGACATTAACACTAAAAAGTGAACCCAGTATCTCACGAAAAACTTCACCACATTTAACGGGTATGGATTTATGTACGTAAGGTTCTGAGATTTCTGGTTGTTGATATTAAACACTACGCTTAGTCAGCTTCTGTTAACATATGTGCGTCCCAAAAGGATTGGCCTAATACCATCTTGTATTTGTAGGTTTTATTACATTTAGATTACGGTTAACAGTGGTGTCCAGGTGGTTATTGCTATCTGGCAGTTCAACTAAATATTAAATTTAATTCCACAAAAACTGTTTCCAGTCAAAGAAATCCGGTCACTCAATGGCCATGAGCAAAGCAAGTAATCGATCCATGGTGTGACTACATAATTTGGGTGAATTTTAATGAATTATAGACTTCTAACACCCCATAATTGATACTATTTCTCAGTTAGTAACTGATGATATATATTAAACATACACTTTGTATTATATTCTTCATATTAATAATCATAAATTCCAAACACTTACCAGAAAACTATCTGATCTTAGCATGATTGACTTTTCGTCATCTTTATTTTGTATTTTATCTAATGTTCGTAGACGAATTGGAGGTTTAAGAAGACAAAGTTTATGCGTTCCATTACGTAAAAATCCCCTGAAAATATTAAGCAATTTAATCCCAATAAAAAATAGGTTTTTTTAACAGTGAGATTAGAATCAGTAACGGGTTTTGTGAATATTATAGTAATTTAATACTTGAATTTATGAGTTAATTAAAGCTAGGTCACTATGGTAAACCTGGAAACACTGGACGGTGTTTTATACACTGCAAACATTAAAAGTTATATTCTGAAAATAAGTATTCGTAATTTAATTTGATGTCTCATCAAATTACATAGATTTAAATGTCTTCTGAATTTCAGGTTACCGACTAAGTCTATGCACCTTTTGGACAATAATCTTATATAGGTTCAGATTTCTGTTTAAAAATCTTTACAATCTATTAGGAAGGGATCAAGTATGAGATCATACCATTTTTACTTAGCATAACAATTCATCTATATAACAATCAAATTTACATTATTTCAGTGTGATATTTCATTTGCATCAATTCACCTCAACTTTTGTTTGGCAATAATTCCCTGTGTTTTTCAGTAACGAATAATCAATGCAGGTAAAGTCGTAAATGAGCGAGTGTCCTAGTTAAGAAAATGGGGAGATTTTTTTTGTTTTGGATGGTGAAAAAGATCTTTAGCTTGCAACAAGATTCGAAATTTTTCCTTGTGTTAAGCCCTCACAGATATCAGTTTCAGTCTCAGTTATTTTCTAAGTTTCTGGTTCAACCTACTATACAATCACTTCACAGATGTTAATTGTCTTCCTATTTCTATCAAAATTAACAAGACATTTATAGGAATAGTTATGGTACAATTATGCTTCTTTATATATATTTATTGTATTAAAATGTTCAGACTATGGGTTTACTTAAAATACTGATTTTTAACTGGTGGAATATAGAAAATCGATTGTAGTTGAAGCGTTGACCCAAGTAAGCCTACTTCTGACAAACAGTCACTTTCAACCCATATTGTCTTATTTCACAATTCAAAATTCTCATTTTTAATTCCTTATTTTTTATCGTTAAGTAAATTGAGTTAAGCCAACAACTGAAATTCTGTTATTGGAAATGTATTGAGCTGTTTAAAACTCAATATTTCATCTTTACCATACTTTCAAACTAGAAAAAAACATAAGAGAAGAGAAATATTCTCAATTATGAATGTAGACAACGGCAGGTTAAAGTTCAACAATAACCAATCAAGATGAAGGTCGATAGAACAAGCTGTCAGTCATATGTGAAGAAATTCTAATACTTTCCTTCTACCTAAAATTTATGCTGATGATGTAGTTCAGCAAAATAGTAAGAGCTTCACGATTCAAATATCCAGCTCAGAAGACGATACAACATTAAAATCATCCACCTGAACTGTAAATCTTCACTATTTAAAAAACGAAATGTACAATGAGTAATGAATAAATAGTATGGGATGCGTATTTACCAATCAAATAGACGCAAGAACGACCAACCAATCAAGTGTATCCTTCGTAATTTAGTGATTTGTCGTTTGTTCGGTTTTCGAGAAACCAGTTGTGGAATGAACCAGTTGCCTGATTTGGTTATACTTATTGATCCACCAATAGTGAATACTAAAGGCACTCTAAATATCTGTATGATTAGTAATGCATTCGAATCGTAGTATGGTTTAGTAAGCTAAAAAATCAAAGTGAGAAAATTACGATAGGGGAGTTTAGGAAAATCAATTATAAATTTCAGATACAATATTTAATTCTGTAATTTACTTGTCAACCTAAATGCGTATCGCGAATACCGAACTCTATTTTCTTGTTTATCTCTACTCTATTTTGCTCCTCTCTAATTCACTCTTAATTGTGAGAATGACCCTGACATAATATTTTTTCCATTCATCCTTAACTCTTTTGATTGTAATCCATTACTTGTCAGTGTTTCTTCTTATCACTTTTTATGACTCTTTAGCTTTGTTCATGATATACTTTTTTAAGTGTTTGATTCGTGATGGATAAGAAACACCATATTTCTGATGTATATCACAGAAGAATCCTTTCAAAGCGTTTACATTTATATTCTGAATTATATTAATGATGTTTACAACTATAAAATTAGGGTCCAAATAGTTATCAAAACAGTATGTTCTCTTGTATGTTCTTTACTTTTAGCTGTCACTTATGTAAAATAGTTTTGTTTTATGACTAATTCATCTCCTATTTTAATAATTATTCTTGACATAATTTTACATACTGTTTCAATGTTTCACTCAACTATAAATAAAGAATACGAGAAATGATGTGATACATATGACAGCGCATCTGGCTACAAAGGAAGATACATTCCAATTCACTTCTCATATAATCACAATTAAACAAGGCGATATTTAAAAGTCTGATAAAAAAACGTGTTGAGGATGTATATATTTCATACATGAGAAAAGGAAAGAATGTATGTATGAAGGCAGCATGGATTGATCACTAGACAAATCACTGAACGGATTTGTCTTAGGATATATATTTTTAATGAGCAATGGGTAAGAGTTTTGCAAGATAGGTGCAGACAAGCACACATTGACGAGCTCAATTAAAAGAAATGTAGATGGGTAGATGGTCTCAATTAATTTTTAGAATAAGTATCAAATCAACGTGACATATTTATCATATACTATTCAAACAAGAATAAATTTACGTAGGCTTATATGAAGTTATTACATACTTACTTGAGGCGCGTCTTCCCATTTAGGATTTTCAAGAGACATTGTTGAATCAAACCTGTCGAATAATAAGTCATCATCATTTCCGAAACCATAAAATTTGTTAACTGGCATAAGACTAGTATCAGAGCTTCGTATAACTTTAGCCAACCCAAAAATATAATCTCCTTCTAAATGAAATAATGGTAATGGATATTGGTGTACTAAACTTGAATATATACATGTATAAAATAAACATAAGTTTAGTGATAATAAATATATTGAATAGTGTCAGTCTGTGAATTTGAACTCTTTACATGAGTTTGATTATTGTTTTGTGTCATCAATGTATGTTCTTAATGTCAACTTAAGTTTATATTTGGCATTCATGGAGCAGCCTAAATAGTCGTGAAAGTCATTCAGACCAATTCATTTAACTTAATTGTTTTCAATAGAGGATTTTTAAAATTCATTTTAGACAGTTGAATGACATAACCATTATAACTTGTTTCCTATTAGTATATAACTTAATGATACCGCCAATTAGAGAACAGTAATTTATCGACCGGACCTATGACGCATAAACCCGTAAGAGCAATCTATAATCCTTATCGGTTCTTTTTTCTGCCTCGCCCTGCCTGTTGAGTCCAGAACACCAATCTCAGCCTCTGCTGCATGAATCACGTATTTTAAACATACCGGGTTTATATACAAACCAAAGAGACCACATCACACCATAAAATAGCTGATAACAGTTGTACAAGATCTAGTCAAAAGTGGCTGTGAATGTGGGAGACTGTAACTAATAGACTGGACATAACTTACGGACAGTAAATCTTATGATAATAATCTATGGGTCAAAATAAAGCTTATAATTAGAGGAACATGAATATGCATAGTTTAGTTATTCAACAATCATGCAATAAAAATAAATGTATAATGTTAGTCCATAGATAGATCCCAACAGTTAGCATTCATATTTCTCGTCCGGATATATCAGATTGTGTTGATCAGTTAGTTGGATATCAGAACAATTAACTAAAGCTTCACATACCCTAAAAGAGAATAATGAGTTGCAGTTGTTAACATCAACAATGGGAAGATACAAACCTACTACAAGCACCATTTGCTTACAGAAGTATATATTCATGTATGCGAAGTTGTGCGGATTCGAGCAAGAACTCTTTGAAAGAGGTTCATTTGTTAAATTAATGATTTACATTTTAAGTGGATCCATGCATACCAGCGTGTATCTTCACTTATTTCTCACGCAATACATCGACAATCCCAGTTCGTTGCTATATATTTCTTTCACTTGAATCATATAAACGATTAGTATTATGCTCCTGGCCATAGTTTCACACCACATATGATTACGTTGTGTGGTTTAGGAAATTAATTATTATTAGTCACCATTAATGCAATAAATTGTTTTATGTGTCTTACACAAAATTAAACGAACTCAATTCATCCCAATATTAACAATTGTTATGAATATCTCCCTTAATGAAGCTATCACTAAACAACTAGACAAACCATTGAAGATATTTAATTTCCACAAATATTCCATGGATATATAAATGCGGGGTCGTCAAAGAGTCCCATACTAGGACAAGACAATCGTCCAATGCTTCCAGGTATTCAATGGTAGTCTAACTAAGATTAGTTCATGATATAAACTATGGAGAAACTGTGTTAAGCTTCTGTCTCATGTAAAATGAAAAAGTGTCACGAGATTATTCTCAAGTTAGATTACTTAGATTCTTTTCCAGAACATAGATATACTCTTAATTTTAATTGAACATAAAATAAGTCTGCTGCTTACCTTTTACTGTCAAACCCTTAGCGTCCTTTAAACTTAACAGAAAACCGTCATTTACACGATAAAAAAATGGAAACGCTGAAATCATTTGGTTTGGTATACCATTTGTAGTTGTATTTCTTTTAATTGACATTCGTTGAAGTGTGTAACGATATAGATAATCAGGAGTTAAGAAGTCATTTTGTTCTAGATGATTTAAAGTTATCAAAAAAGAAAAAAACACTGGAAAGTATCTCTAGTTTTCTATAAATTGATCATTATTGTAAACATTATTGAAGGCGTATGAACATAGACTGAACAATTTAGCTAATTCTATAAGTCAACCAGAAATGTTTTTAAATATTATAACTATCTAAACAAATATTCTTGTGAATATGCTGTCATGTGCTTACATTTCAAATTTTACATAAGTAACAATCTTTTTAGATATTTCAAATGACAACTTGTTATGAAGTTGTCTTATGGAGAGTCGATCAATCTTGTACTAACTTTTATGTTCTCATTTCAAGTCATGGGAGTTACAGTAGATCTCGTTTCCCAGGTATAATCAGTATTGTGGCGTGTGCTACTGATGTCGATTGATATAAGCAGTATCGGTCATCAATCGAAATTGAAATATCTGGCGGCAGAAGGTTAAAATGATCAAAGAAAAGATCGACGAAAATAAAAAAAAAACGATTAGTGTGGAAACGAAAGAATAATTTAGTGTAAGACGATTAACTGATATTTGCAAAAGGAACAGTCAAGTTTGAGGCAGTAGATTGACATTTTTCAAATGAAGTATTTACTGTATGGTTCTCAGATTTTACTAAGATATTCTGTGGTTTTGTGTTTAAGCTTACTCGGTTGTGCACACTTGTGTTCTCATTCACTACAGTATGATAGCAGTACAACAGAACCGATACCTACATGTTAAGAGTAACACATGCATAACAGTACCAACGGTTACGGGACACAGACATAGCAACAATAAATTATTCGGTTTATTATATGAGTAATTAAGATGAATTGATGAAGCACACCTTTTCTAATTAACCAGTGATCAGAGATTATTATTTAATTATTTATATTTACCTGAAGATTTGTCGAATTCACCCTCACGCCGTAAAATCATTTTCACCATACTGTGTATGTCTGTTTTCCTATTTTCATCGGACTGGAATTGACGATATACAACCCATTCAAAATTTGTTGGAGTCGATTCAGCTGAACGATATGATCTAAATCTGTATTCCGGTTGAGGTAAAGGCTTCTAAAATACATAAAATATTTTTCAGAAAAATAATTAAGGACAGTACATTGTTCTTTACATACACTGTGAATTAGTTGACCCTTCTGAGGTTTTATTATTCAAAATCTACAAAATAATTTACGAATTGAACTGTGAACATTACCCATATTTACAAACTTATCCTCAAACATTTAACTATAAGTTAACTGGTACTATCATTAGCAATGAGATATTTAGTTCTAAGAGAAAACAGGTAATATTCAAAACAAGATGAATTGTGAGAAAAATATAGGTTACTGATTACCTCTGTATAAGGTAAGAGACGAACAAGAATTGTTGAACAATGTATATAAGGTGCATTATTTAATGAATCTTCTTGATAAAATATTTCATTATTATTCATGTTCTGAGATATTGGTTTCGGTACTTCACATCTTAATCTAAGTTGATGCCCACCAATATTAAGTAGACCCTGTGATAAAGTAAAGAATCAAATGTAGAAATAAACAGGATATAATCAAAGACTGTATAGAATATATTTACCATTTAATGAATTATGTTCATCGTAAAACATTAAATTATGTATATGCTTCACTGTTTTTGATTGGATTATCAATGACACATTTTCAAATCCTTTTCAACCTAATTTGGTTTATAATTTCTAATTTAAACCTTCAGTTATTCTATGATCAACAGTGTTCAATGCAAAAACTTAATTGATGGTCGGCAGTTTAGTCACAGTTTTCATTTTCATAAGGATCTTCGGTAATATATAAATCGATCCACCACGGTCCGATTTCATGTGTTACTTCCAGTGTATTGTGTACTAAAACGTTTCTTCTTCATGAGATTTAAGATGTTTAAAGTGAACACAAGATATAATTTGATCAAATTGTTTGAGCGGTTGCCTGATTCCAAGATGATAACCACAAACTAATAGCGAATAGCTTTTAAAGCCTTTGATATCTGTCCGTGAAATAATCATTATACGGTAGTATCTGAATGAGTTAGTATCAACGACTCATAAACCATTCAGCATAAATAAGAGAATAAATTGATCAAACAGGATTACTGACCACAAAAGAGGGCTATTAGAATGGACAAATCCACTACTTTTATAGGCTTATGTTCTACAGATTTGCCGTATTATTTTTTTAAAAATCAAACCGATACATTATTTCAACTTTTGTTGCTTAACTGATTCATTGCATCAGATTAGTGTCCTAATATTCGATTTTTATTATCTACCCGGCAATTTTTGAAATTTTTATTAAAATTCCCCCCACGCCCCACTGAAAATTTTTTTCCACCCCCAAATTACAATATTTTTCATCCCGTGTTTCGTTCAATGAAATGGCTAGTTGTAAAATTCGTTTTAATTGGTTAGTTATGTCTTGAACATTGTTATAAAATATCAGTACTTGTCGACGAAGTATATTGGAATCGTCATTATGGAGGAAAGTAACGTGCCAAGTACAACCACTGGTTTTTCTCATGTCACGGAAATGGAGGAAGTCTTTTTGACAACCTTGTTTCTGGTTGCGTACCCATCAGTTGAAGCGTTAAAGGCCGCTATCGCAACTTTCGAAAGATCGACTTACAGTCATTATGTAGTGAGAGATGAAAATTTCTATATTAAATTTGTGTGTTGAAGAAATGGGCGTATGAGATCTAGCGGTTCGTCACAACGTATTAGACGTAGGAGGTAATTTAGTTAATGTAATTATAATTTTGTTCACGAAGGGCTTCCATGAACACCCAATGTCCGGCCTTCATGTATTGTAAGATTAAAGACGAGTACTGCACTGTTGTGCGTGGGAATGTGCATCATAATCACGAGTGCAATTCCCTGAGGTACCAAGGTAATTCATGGATGCGCAGGTTAACGGATGCTGAGTTTGAAACTGTGCGGCCACTGCTCATATCTGGTACGGCTTCCTTCCACATTAAGAATTTCGCTTACCAATCTTATGGTAAACTTCTTAATGATGAAGATGTGTGTAATCTGCGGTACAAAGTGTTCTCGCAGGCGAGCCTTCCTGGTAAAGTATTTGCGAATTTATAATGTACACTATAGGTGATTACGGGAAATTGAAAGCTCACATAACATCCTTGGGTGGGCTTTGCGAATACGAATTGAACGATGAGAACTGTCTATCGTATTTCTTCTTCATCCAAAATGAAGAAGAGGATGAAGAGAACCGACTATGCGACATCTGTAATCTTGCGCAGCAACCGTGTGAAACAGGTGATGCACTGGGTTGGGTTTTCTGTCATTTTAAAAGACTAATATTTGAACGAAGAATATTCTTTTCGATAAATTCTCTTCAGGTTCTACAATTATATATCCAAATTATTAATCCGAAAAATGGCCAAGTTAAGGGTAAAGTACATCGTTTAGAGCATGTGAATTTAGGATTGTGATAAACAAAATACAATAAAATTGTTAATGTTAATATGACTCATATAAAATGTTAACTCGAATCTGCGTATATGTTAAATGAAATTTTAAGATCCATGATCAGAATAAGTATGGGTCAAATAGGGTGAGAGAGAAATAATAGTGCAATTACAATTCGATCAAATAAGTAAGACGTAATACGGAGGGATGAATGCGAAGTGAATGAATCATGTATAGGGAGATTAATGATGTTTAACCAATAATACGAATAATAATAATAATAATAATAATAATAATAATAATAATAATAATAATAATACAAAGATAACAGGGACAATTACAATTGACTACGAAAGGTCATAGTCAAATTGGGTCATTGTGAAGCAATGTTTCATACCTTCTGTGCCTACGACCCATCACCGAACGTACGAGCAGTGCACTGTCCTATGTGTGGCGCCATTACAAACTAAAACGGGAGCGAGTAAAGGCCCTTTTCAGGGCCACCCACAATTTGATTTCCATAATGTCTTCTCAATTTCTTTCCATTAATATCTAACGAACTTAGGTATGTCTTATAGATTAATCATTGATAAGCCATTGTATCTCATTTATTAGTAAACTCGTTTCCGACGTTCATTAGATATAAAGGGTTGACATTAAGCCCACTGAGCTATCCGAGCCGTGACCAACCTCCTGTAGGACTGATATGTAATCACAATTGATTGATCACTGGGTGGTGATCAATGTCATGCTTGTCTAGTCCTTATTAGTGCAGATCGAATGCTATCGATTATGTTGCAATGTGGCCACCAGTCTTGACACATGACATTGATCGCTCGAATAGCTCAGTGGTAACGTCTCTGATTGTGAAGCTGGGTGACACGAGATCGAATCCGCCAGGGAGCACCAGTTCCCTCAAGATTACAGGTACACCTTGCTGACGAGTGCCAAGTAGCACGAAACCCGGGTCCAGGGTTTCCTGTTGACTACCTCCTACCACCACCTAAATCTCAATACATAGTGCCCGCAGTGTCGAGTCACCCAGACTGGTGGCCACACTGCAACATGATCGATAGCATTCGATCTGCACTAATAAGGACTAGACAAGCATGACATTGATCACCACCCAGTGATCAATCAATTGTGAAGGTAACAAAATGTTTGTTCATTATCACTTGAGCACACACTTGCAAAACAAGTCCACCAATCAACGATACCTAAATTTTTCATTCACACCCCACAATTTTTTTAAAATGGGTGGTAGGGAATCATATGGGCTGGTCAATTGATGTCGACCTTAATATTCACTGGGTTAGAAGAATATTAGGAATAGATTGATTTAAATAGGGTCTTTTCAGTTTTGACTTTTGTGAAAGCATGTAGTAGTTATGTGTTCATAGTAGGAGCCAACTTTATATCTGAGACTATGATCTGATAAACAAATTGAACGTTGATGTAACGAATGTTATTCAACAAGATAGTCATAGTTACACTAACTAATGTTGAAATTGAAGAAAGTCATGCTAATTTACTAAATGCTGGATGCGATACTAAATATGACTTTATATCAGTTGGTTGACCACTGGGTAGAGACCAGTATCATATATGTCAAATCTTTCTAAGTGTTGATCGAATTTTATCGAAAAGGTTGCAATATGACCACCAGTCTGAGTGACTCATTATCGTTTTATTCATAAACAAAGATGTATGCTTGCATCCTATAATCAACTTAACGAATAACATTAATCTTAACTACAATAAAATTATTTCCTATTTATTTTAAGTTTTCAAAATCAATCCCATGACAACTTTGATACAGTTAAGCAACTTGTAGGATTCATAGAGAAATATGTTTATATTCCCAATGTAAGCCTACTATCATTCACTTATACATAATTCAATTTTATATATTCAACAATGTTAAACTCTTACATTTTTAATTACACTAAACCTGTTTGTAAAGGCTTTCTCAACTTTAATTGGGTAGCTTTCAATAGTTCATATTATTCAGTTGTTTTTGTAGCTGACTACTTAACTATAGATTGTATAATTTTGCTTCGTAATGAAAGAAAACAAAACTTACATTTGAATTGAATAACTTCAGCAGAACGTTTCCAATAACTACATATTTTAGATTTGTGAGTGTAAGTGTATACACCCTTAGAAATAGTAAAGAGTTCTGGGATAAAGTTTTGTTTTGACTAAGATTAACAATAAAACGTTGATTTGGAGAAAAAACTGGTGATCTACTAGTTTCTCTTATCTCAAAATTTTCTTCTGGTACAATCAAAATGTCCGATAATTCCTCATCATATTTTGTATTTAGTAACCGACCAGTAACCTGTAAATAAAAATTTAATACAAGTTTGATGATAGAAGGATAAAGGGGTTTAACATTACAACTGATTGATCATTGGGTGGTGATCACTGTCATGTATATCAGGTCTTTCTTAGTGCAGACAGAATTCTGTCGACCAAGTTGCAATCTGGCCACTAGTCTGGGTGACTCAACATTGCGTGCACTATGTTGAGCTAAGATGGTGATTGGAAGTAGTCATTAGGAAACGCAATGTCGAGTCACCTAGACTAGTGGCCAGATTGCAACTTGGTCGACAGAATTCTATCTGCACCAAGAAGGACCTGACATACATGACATTGATCACTATCCAGTAATCAATCAATTGAAATGCATTTCAATCCTATAGGTGGTCAGCCGTGGCTCAGATTGCTCAACGGTAACGTGTCTGACTGTGAAGCTTCAGGATACGGGATCAAATCTATCAGGGAGCATCAGTTCCCTTAAAATTACAGGTGCACGTCGCTGACGAGTGCCAAGTAGCACAAAATCAAGGGGGTTTAACATTATTTTATCATTTCTATGGACTTGTAACAGCATTGTGACAGATAACTTAAAAAAACATACGAGACTAAAAGAATTAACTGCATTTGCATGATCGTACAAATGGTTCTAAGGTGAGTTGTTATATTTTGAAAGCAGCTTTCATCACAAACTGATATTGTTTGGAAATTCATTAGTATCTAACGTGAACTGAACGGCTGTTTTCATATATACACATATATGTACAATAAATAAGTTTACTCAATCATTAGTATATTGATAAATGAGTATATATTCATATTTATGACTTTAGACATTTATCATTGAAGATGATCTTATGGAGAAGAAATTTCTTTGTCGTAATCTTCATCTAACACTTAATATCATAACTATAAGACACATTTCATCTTTTGATTGTTGTATCATAGTAACATAGTCAAGCTTCTTATCTGAAAAGTTTTTGTCCCTTGATTTTAAAATTAACGGCAAAAATGAAACTCTGAAGTTAATTACTACAGTCTTGGAATGACTTACAAATCTTACTGCTTGTAAAAATTAAAGTTGGAGAATAGTTAGATTAGTTACTTGGTAATTATTAAGTTCATGAAACAATTTTCCATGCTCCAAAAATAGTATAATGATACCAGCTAGATGATATAATCGGCAATGTTGGATAGATATAATATATTAGGTAAAGCTTACTTGGTAGGGGATAGTTGTGACTGGTTTATAATGAGCTAGGGAATTATTCCTCTAATCCAGATCATTGAACATGAGTTATTATTAATTTAGCAACATATGAGTGATTTATAAAATTTATTATTTGACTATCGACAATAAAGTTTCACTTCTGATCTCGTTCTTTTTCCTTCACATAGTTGGTTGTTCGTGAATTTAGTAGTGACAATCAGACACTAGAACATTACATCTAGGTGTTAGACCTTATTTTGTATGTATTAAGTGAGATTTCAGCAAATGAATGCTGATAAATTTCAACTTGTAGAAATCATCGTATTAGGCCTTTTCTGTCATTATTACTTGATATTAGATAAAATCAACAAGGAAGCTGAACGCTCATCTCTTTGTTTCTACTATATTTAAAGACTTTGAGGTAATTTAAAGGATTACTAATTTAAGAGGAAAATCGTGTATACAAACCGGATAGTTTATTCGTGATCCTTTCAGTGTCATGCTAGACAATATCACAACCATATATTTCAAAAATAAGTGAGCTATCACAAATTTGCTGCTCTATATTATTCTTTATCTTCTGATCCTCTCTCTATTTCTATTTTATCTACCCTGCACAAATGTTGAATTACCTTTATTGTCAGTAGTACAAAGATTGTTCTTGAATATTTATCTACTTTAATCGCATAACTGGAAAATACCTTAAAAATTGTCGAGTTATCTGGCATGAAGCGTAATTGATCGACATAAATACAAAATGGTTCAGATGTTGAAGATGGTTTCATTAATCTTTCGTATGGTGCAAGTTTTTTGAATGGTACCCACGGATCGTCAATCGGAGTAGCTGGTGGACTTAATTCTTCAATATCCCTAATGAAATACATAAAATCAATTAAGTGAGTTCAGTAGAATCAAAAAGTGTAAAAGCTACAATGATTAAAAGGCTTACTTCCTGTATTATGAATTTCACAAATTTACTGGTGTAGTCCTTCCGAAGTTAATTATACTAGATAACAATATTAGAAATACTCCTTTATTTTACGTTTAGTTGTGTCATGTTAGTCTTGAAAAGAATTTAGACATTTTAAGAAAAAAACACCAACTTAAGTTCAATCCTACTGTTAGTGAATGTGTATAGTGAGATAAATTTTTGATTTCCGATTAAGTGATTTAATGTCAACCTTCAATTGAAGTCGTTAGTTATGCTGCTACGAATACTTATATGTATCACATAAAAAGCAAGTGAAAACCGGTTTGAATATTTGATAATAGTAATTACTGAATAAGGTCGGTAGTCAAATGTTGAATACCAAAATAATAATGAAATTATCACCAAAGTTTGTGCATAATTTTTTTTGGAACACATGGTCTGTTCATGGGAAAAAGAAATCAACATATTAATAAGTCATCATGATAATTTATTGATAACGACATGTATAAATCAGGTGAACCAACCGTAAACTATGGGTTAATGAAACGACTTTGACGGAATATCAAAGAAGTAATAATGTTTCCGCAATATGCATGGAATATTTAGTAAATGATAATTAAAATAACCCATAGTGTCATTGAATAAGAAAAAGAGAATTCAGCGAAGAAAATTTTCTTTTCGACGAAATCATTTACTTAAGCTGTACATTCGTATATATAGTTATATGGAAAATGTATGTCTATAGAAGGATAGAAAGGATTGTATCACAAAAAATGGATTCGACAATAAATAACAAATGAGGTTAACGTACTAATCAAGGGGTAAGGAAGAACAAAATTTAAGGGTCAGATAATAGTCCAATTGACAGATTGACAGATATGAAGAAAAACGACAATGACACTATGGGTTATTTTAATTATCTGAAAAGTTGCAAGGATCCTGTGACAGTGAAGGAACTCAGTGGGTTTCTTGGTTATTCTGTCAAGCTTGCTATAGCGAATACTAGGATCAATTTTCTGAGAAGCTGTATAGACAAACGCGAATATCCTAGACCATTTTTCAAATCATTACGCCGTAACCATATTCATCCAAATCATCGTTCGTTAAAACGTCTTACTCTCAATTATGTCGATAAAATTAAGTCTAGAATACCAGAACTAGAACGAAATATCTCATTACGCTCACATATATTATTTGAATTGTCAGAAGATCAACGTTTCAATTTCAAAGATTACATTGATATTGTTAGCAAAAATCGTACTGAAGATGTTATACTGAAATTAATAAAAAGTCTAAAACAGACCGAAACGCAAGCTTCTTTTCCCGAATCTCCAGAGAAATTTGTTTTTAATTACTCAAGTATAACATTATCGACTATTCAGCTACAAGCATTATCCCTTGGTCCTAAATTTTGTAGCACGTCCACTAACATTAATGAACTCAACGCGAAAATCCAGTTTGAAAGCCTCATGCGACAGACAAATGACCTTACTCCAGTATCTAATGAAGATTTTGAGCATTTTAAAACAACTCTTGTGGATTGTTGTAATCAATATGTAAATAAAATACCTACAATTAGCCGATTACTCACAAAAGAACATAAATCTCAATTATCTGATCTGCGGAGAAATCAGGACTTAGTTTTATGCCGCCCAGACAAGGGTGCAGGAATTGTTCTTATGGATCGTATTGACTATGTTACAAAAATATCTTCAATATTATCTGATCCTGTCAAATTCTCTATTGAGAACGTCCAAAAAGACACTACTGAAAAAACTGAACAAATGCTAATTAAAATTTTAAAGAAAATGAAAGATGAGGATATTATCAATCATGACCTCTATGAACACCTCAAACCATCTGGTTCTGTTGTACCAAGACTATATGGACTACCAAAAGTTCATAAGAATAATAACCCACTACGTCCTATACTGGATATGAACAATTCTCCCTATCACCTAATCGCTAAATGGTTAGTTAACATTCTACAACCTGTTAAAAATCATATCAACAAACACAATTCTCTTGATTCCTTTGACTTTGTTGACTCCATTAGAAATATCAATGTATCCGGTAAAAAAATGTTCTCATTAGACGTCACTTCTCTTTTCACAAACGTTCCCCTCACAGAAACCATTTGCTTTTTATGTGACTATATTGAAAATAATAATCTTGATATGCGTATCCCGATATATTACCTTAAAGAACTACTTCTAAGATGTACGCTCAACGTGCAATTTAGGTTTAATGATATTTTCTATAAACAAATAGATGGAGTTGCAATAGGCTCTCCATTGGGTCCTCTCCTGGCTGATTGTTTTATGGTGAACCTAGAAAATTCGGTACTTCGACCAATAATTGAAAGATTTCATTTATATAAAAGATATATGGATGACACTTTCATTATTTGCGAAGAAGACAGTGACCTCAATGATATTTTGAATATTTTCAATAACTGTCACCCATCAATCCAATTCACCTTAGAAGCAGAGAGAAACCACGAATTTCATTTTCTTGATATCCATTTAAAAAGAATGCCTGACGGTTTATTACAGAGATCGATATACAGAAAACCCACTTGTAATGGACAATACACGAACTTCCACAGTTGGGAATAATATTGTCCGACCGGCCATTTTTTTATAAAAAAAAACCCCACCCCATAAAAAAATTTTCCACCCCAAAATTACAATATTTTTCATCCCGTTTCGTCCAATGAAACGGCTAGTTTTAAAATTCGTTTTAATTGGTTAGTTAGGTCTTGTCAAATTGTTATAAAACATCAGTACTTGTCGACGAAGTACATTTTAATCATCATTATGGAGGACAGTAACGTGCCGAGTACAAGCGCTGGTGTTTCTCACGTAACGGAAATGGAGGAAGTCTTTTTGACAACCTTGTTTCTGGTTGCGTTCCCATCGGTTGAAGCGTTAAAGACCACTATCACAATTTTTGAAAGATCGACTTACAGTCATTATGTAGTGAGAGATTCGCATATTGGCAGAGATCAAAAATCCTACATTAAATTTGTGTGTTGGCGAAATGGGCGTAAAAGATCTAGCGGTTCGTCGCAACGTATTAGACGGAGGAGGTAATTTGGTAAATTGTTTTACAATTTTTTGAACGAAGGGCTTCTATGAACACACAATGTCCAGCATTTATGTTTTGTAAGATTATAGACGGCTATTGGACTGTTGTACGTGGGAATGTACATCACAATCACGAGTGCAATTCCCTAAGGTACCAGGGTAATTCATGGTTGCGCAGGTTAACGGATGGGGAGTTTGAAACTGTGAGACCGCTGCTGATTTCCGGTACCGCTGCATTCCACATAAAGAATTTTGCTTACCAATCTTATGGGAAATGTCTGACCGCTCAAGATGTCTGCAATATGCGGTACAAAGTGTTCTCGCAGGCGAGCCTTCCTGGTAAAGTATTTGCGAATTTATAATGTACACTATAGGTGATTACGGGAAATTGAAAGCTCACATAACATCCTTGGGTGGGCTTTGCGAATACGAATTGAACGATGAGAACTGTCTATCGTATTTCTTCTTCATGACTGCTGAGCAAGTGAATTTGGCCGGTCACTTTTGTGACGTAATTGGTTTTGACGGGACGTACAAAACGAATAACGAGAACGTCCATTTATATCAAGTCGTTGCCCTGGATATGAATTTTAAGGCAATACCCATGTGCATTGCCTTTTTAAGTCGCGAAACGTCGGCCTTGATTTCTCGATTCCTCTTCTTTTTCCAACGGTGTACCAACAGTCGACAACTGGTAGGCATTGTGACCGATGATTCACCTGCAATTGCTGCTGATATTAAGCAGGTGTATCCGGATGCACACCATATTCTGTGTCGCGTACACCTTGTTCGGAATGTGATAAAGAGGGTAAGTGTTTCGTTCATTAACGTTAACCCAGTAACCGTTATTGTAGAGGGTGCGATCAGAAATTGTACAACTGTTCTTTCGCCTCATGTTCACTCGAACGGTTGAAAGGTAAATCAAAATCTACATAAAATGATTTTGTAGTTTTAACAACGTACTTTCGTTAATCGAAATGTCGGACGGAACGTTTGGCAGATACGTCAGAGACCATCTACCACGGAAACACAATTGGTCCACTGCTTTTCGACCGCCATCCACTCTCTTTAAACTGAACAATACAAACTTCGTCGAGACCAGTCACCGAGTCTTGAAGATGTATCACCTTAATCGAAAAACACCGGTTCTAGATCCATTTTCAATGTGCTGCTTCGTACTGGATATTGGATGGAAGCAAGATTACATAAATATTCAATGGATTGTCGGGGGAAAGCCGATATTGTTGAGGAGCCGGAAGTACGTCGACTTCAGGAACGACTGACACCAGTTGCCTGTCAACTACTGAAGCGACACCTTCGCATTCCTATAACGCAGTTTGCATTGACGGAAGATTTATTCACCGCTATGGACGCCACGGGGACGTACTACGTACACGTCGATACTAGCCGGTGCTTGTGTCCATTCTTCATTGAAAACGGATTACCATGCCGTCACATATTGGCTTACTGCACACACAGTAACACCGATGTGAACGTACAGTCAATTTGTGACAGGTGGTTACACTATGATGGTTATCTGACTCATATTGCAGTTGAAAATTATTTCCTAATGCAATTGAGTCAGCCAAGCATGAAGAATGCAGTGATAGCGTTAATCAGGCGAATGTCGGAGGAACAATGTTTCATACCTTCTGTGCCTACGACCCATCGCCGAACGTACGAGCAGTGAACTGTCCTATCTGTGGCGCCATTACAAACTAATAGTGACGACGTCCGACCGCGAGAACGAGTAAAGGCCCTTTTCAGGGCCACCCACAATTTGATTTACATTATTTTTTATCTACTAATTTTCCGCGGCAAAGGTCAAGTGATTAAGCACCTATTAATGT